GACAGCTGAGGAACAGTTATCATTGTGGCTCCAAAGATACGTATTTTGTGCCAACTCAGAGTTGTTGAAATGCGGGGCAGAGGGATCCTCCTCCCCCCTGTTCTCATAGGCGTTTCTGTAGCTGATTTTTTGGCTAAGGGCGATAATAGGAAAAAGTATAGTTGAGCCAAAACCTACAAGTGTTACTGATTTAAAATAACTCACATATTTTTAAATATTAAGTGAACTACGTTAAACTGAACTGTGTAAATACCTGATGCTGAATCTTTGCATAATTGTTTCCAAGAGGTATTTTTGCTATGAGGTATTAAAACTCAAAGAACTGCATTATTCCCTTTGAGATGATCTGTACTCTGGCTGTCATACATCTCTTGACTTGTTTCCTCTTTGCTGTAGATGCACATACATACAAACGTATGTATGTATTTTTAAAACAGACGGTTTAATGTGGTAGAGTTGTACAGTCACACAGTTTAGGGCTTTGTAAAATAATGTAATTTTGGGAATGTCAATGTGGTTCTTAGCAGATTTTATAAACACTTTTCTGAATCTATCAGCACTTCCCATCCTAAGAGAAACTGCACATATTTCAGTGATTGTTCCACTGGTTACATCTTTGTCTGCCATTTGTTTTGAATTGATGTAATCTTGATACTACTAAAATTTCAAGGGCTGTTGACGTGTTTCACATAGCCTAGATTGCCTGTTAGCCAAATGTATGGATCATGCATCAACAGTACTCAGTAGCCTTACTGTTCTGCCTAAAGCCTAGCTAATTTATTTGATATTCTCTCTTTAAAGAGAGGTCCTTGGAAGGAGCAGCATAGTTTAGGATGCTCCTTCTCTTTAAAGGGAAACTCAGAATTGAATAGCAGTACTTGTTGATCAGTGATGTTATTGTAGCCAAAGGATGCATGGGTGGTTACTAGGAAGTTTTTGCTTCGAGTTTCTTGATGAAATGTCGTGTTCTACAGAGCTGTGTGAAGAGTGTAGTTTTTTATTCTGAAATGCACTTGTACACTTTATTTGAAAGGTCTGAATGGATCATGAATACGTTTAAGAAATAAATGATATGTCACACGTTTTCACGCCTTGTCTGAGATGACTTTTGTGTAAGTGGGCGGTGGTAAAGGTGTGTTCTTTGTGGAGGGGGTGGGTTTTTCACCTCCTCTTTGCTGTTCTCAGCAGTCTGGTTTTAATGCAATCACAAAGAGCAGGACAACCTTCCGTTGTGCACTGTGTGCCTACTGTTACCCATATGTGATGTGGGGAGCTGAAGGCAAACTCTTCTCTGTATTTTTCCTGTGGGAAACTTGAGCCCTAAAAGGAAATGAACACAGCTAAAGGGCTGGATATCACAAGGGATTCACTTTTATTTTTAGAATTGCTCTATATTGCCATATTTGGACTGAAAGTATGCTGTATCAGTGCACTATTGTATCAAATTGCAGGTGTTTCTCTAAACCATTCATTTTATTTCCACGAATCCCTCATTTATTTGTGAGTGTTCTCTGGGTAACACTTCTGTTCTCAGCACAGCGTATCTCGTGAGAATCTAACAAGCCTGTTGCTTGGAAAGTGGCTCTCGTAGTACTTCCCTAAGGCCTCAGTACTGGGTGTAATGCTGTGTGCTAAAATCCTCTTGCATTGCTTTGGTCCAAGGCACATGCAGGGAATGTCTCTGGGTAAAAGTCAGTATTAATACTACTATCAAAAGTAATCTTGGGAAGACCATCAACCTGCACAGTAAAGAAATTTGGTGATGCGGTGTCATGCAAACATTAAAAATAGCTGCCAAGTGACCTTTCAGCATTTTAGAATGTCTGTGAAATGTGCAGATCTTATCAGAAGCACTTACCCGTGGTGTGTAACGCTGTCCTGTTTCAGACAGCTTTGGCTTTTTCTGCTCCTTGCGACTGCTGGAAGCTGTGAGCTGACCCGTTGATCTCTTCAGTGCCTTGCCTGTGCCCAGCAGCAACATGCCTTGTGCTGATCAGATCCAATTGAAGAGTGTAACGTTTGCTGACTGATGGAATCTCCAGACCCTTCTTCTCATAGTCTATATTTCTGACTGTGTGACAAAACCATTGCAAAGTTATTGGGACCTCCCTGAGTAATTGCAATGTGAAAGTGGGTTCCGTGGTGACAAGAGTGAGAGTTTTGCAGAGCTTCAGTTTTGTTTTCTTGTGAGGATGGTGTTTGAATTCAAGTTTTGTCAGCCCTGTGAGGAGGCGCTGTCAACTCCAGCTCTTCCAGGTGTTTAAAGTGTGGCTGAAGATACAGAAAACGCTTCCAATATGGCTTGGTCTCAATTTCAAGACATGGGTCAAGACTGCAGCTTCATTTGCACATCCTGGGATAATTCTCCCAGGAAGGATCATAAACATGCTGAACTTTGGAGAAAAGCACAAGCAATATGTCCTTTAAGTGTATCCATCTTAGCAGGTGGGAACCAGTGTATTTTTTTAAGGAAAGCTGATAAAGTGGATGGGCTTTTGTCTGCTAGAGTGCATCCTAGTTTCCGTAATTACTCTCATAGTTTCTTTTTGATTCAGCAGGAGAGGAAGTTTTTAGTGTAACTCCACTAATATTTTAAAGTGCGCAACAAAGGGGAAGGAGAGGTATGTTGTTAGTCTGAGCATCCACATTTTCCTGCTTTCCTTTGGAGCAGTGAACTCATGTGAGAATTTTAATCTTTATTGCGCTTGCCTCAGTTCTCATGGCTGTTTTCCATTCTGTTTTCTTTATTACTTTCTTTTTCTTCCTGTCATTCTTAGCTTTCTATTTTTCAATCTCAGTTTGTGAAGGGTGTGGGTTCAGAAGGGTTTCCTTCAGTTCCCAGTCCCCTGAAAGCATGAGAAATTGCCCATTGAGCCAATTCTCACAACAAGGTATAAAAATAGGAGTAAAGAAAAGGTTGCACAATGCAGCAGTTTGTACTAATGGAGAGATTTCAAAGCCGGTTTGAAAAGCATTTTTAAACCTTATCATTTCCGCTAATTTTTCTCTCACTAAGCTGTGTTTCAGCTGCAGGAACTAGCCTTACAGATTGCTTGAAGAGTTGCACTGAAACATAGGAGTCAAGTGCTGAACAAGTCACGCAAAGCCAGAGAGGGGCCGCTGATTATTTAGTTGTAATGACAGTGAAGTCTGTCCTGTACGTTTCCAACCAGATGCTTTTGCTTCTGCTATTAAATAAGCAAATTAAAAGGCAAGTGAATTTAAGATTATTTTCTGTAATCTATGCCATTACAGCAGAACACAGGTAACACTCTGGAAATCCAGTTGTTCACACCACAGGTGGGTGTTGGCAGTGAACAATACCTGCACTCTTGCATAGCAGGGTACTTCACTGCAGTTCAGTCTTGCAGCCTTCCAAAAAATTGGTTGTTATCAGGAAGACCTTATTCAAAAAGTTCTCAGAATTCATTTCTGAGCGTTCTGGGCTCTCTGGTAGCGTGTAGGAAAAGTCCTCTTTGATAGTGGAAAAGGGAGCCATGGTAGGCAAAGGAAACATCTGCAGACAAACAGAGGGCTTTTGTTTCTGTTTTCCTATCAACGTCCCGGCCTCTGCTTCCCATTTGGTGGTGCTCACAAACCTGTGGAGGGATCTTCTTTCCATGCTGCAGGGTCCTGAGCCCCACACACAGCTGTGCTGGTGCCAGCTCTGCTCTGAGGGATGCCACTGGTTCCCAGCCGCCACTGCTCACAGCTCTTCGAGCCCGACAGGTTGTTGTTCCAGTTTTCAAAGAATATCCAGGTCTCCATGCAGTGTGATGAAGTCTGGCTTAAGCATCTATAATAGGAACAGTTTGCAAAGTAAACTGAATGAACTGGATGAGATGATCAAAACATCTCTCTGCCGTGTTAAATGTTGACAGAGACCTTAGAAGACTCCACTGTGGGAAGGCCACCTCCTTGCTTTCCCCCTCTGAACCTGAATCTGTCCTAGATGGCACTTCAGGCTAAGCTGGACATCGTTCACAAATGCTTATGGTTACACATGGTGTGTCTGACACAGACCTAAGAAGAAGTTTCCATATCCTTGCCTGTCCTGTGCAGTACTGACAGATCCCATTAGAGCTGGCTGTTTGACGCCAGTCTTGCCCACTGATTTCAGGGCGGTCATGTGGTATTCAAATTGGATTACCATCGGGAGGAAAAGGCCTGCGTTTCCCTTTCTACTGCACTGAATTATTATGCTTTGTCAAACTCTTTTAATCTCTTCTAGGAGTTTTCACTACTTCTTGTGTAGGACTTGATGCAGACTCGCATGGTGTTTCTTCCAATTACCTTTTCAGTCTGTTGTTCAATCTTAATGTTTTTTTTAAATTGTATGCTATCTGTTATTGTGCAGCTTTCAAAGCACTTTAGACATCTGAAATTGATTGCATCTGAGAAATGTAGAGAACAAAGTTCCATCTTCCTGATGCTGAACTGCCCTGCTCCTATAGGCAGCCATGCCTGCATCTTATTATGTTTTGCTGTGTGCAGCTCTTACACGATTTTCTACTTCTGAATTGCTTAATTTTATGGAAGGAATGGAGAGTGGTTTCACTAGCTGAAGCATTTAGGAGAATGAATGAAAGAACTTAGGACGGCATTGTACAGCTGCTTACAATTGTTTGTTACCCTCTGCAGTTTAAGATAAATGAAATGTGACCAGGCAGCATTGCCTTTGGAAGACTCCAAGGGAAGGCTGCTGTCTGCATCGCAGTGTCCCGGAATGCTTTTGTGTGTGTGTGCATGTGCTTTTTCTGCCACTCGCTGACTGTTCCCAGATGTGCTTAGGTAACCAAATCTATCAAGATTGTGATCTGGAGCTGCCAGCCTGCAGGCAGTCTGTTCTGGTTGAGTAGACTGTATTTGTTAAATTTAGAACAGTGCGCAGAACACGATGTCAGTCCCTCAACTCTCAGCCCTCGCATGTAGTAATTTATTCTCTTCTGACGTGTTTTAGTTTATAGTACCTCAGTTTTTGTTTTTACTTTTTCTAATAGGAGTCTCCTCAAGACAGTGCTATCACTCGAGACATCAATCGAACGTTTCCTGCTCATGATTATTTTAAAGATACTGGAGGAGATGGTCAGGACTCCCTGTACAAAATATGCAAGGTATTCTTTACATTCTTATTCTGGTAACTAATGTTTGAAATCGTTGACAGATGTATCTTTGTTACCTGAGAAGAACGTGTAGCTATTACAGTTAGCTCACTGTCCCTTGGAGGCAGACTCTGCCTCGTTCTTCATTGCAGTTGTTTACCTGGTTATAGTGCCATTCAGATGGGCGTTCTGAAGTAGTAAGCCCTCCGGAGTCCTGAGCACTAAGCTGTTTAGTACAGAAACTTGACAGGATTCCAGATGTGTCAGCCTGGATCAAAGCTGAGGGGAGGAGGTGTGCTTCAGTTTAGAAAGTGTCATTTTTTTCCCCTGGTATCCAAAGATGAAATGTAGAGAGAGGGACACAACAGATCCTCAGCTAAAGGCTAAAATGCAGTGAGAGAGAGAAATGGGATCCATCCCTGTGGTAGCAGGAAAGCTGCTTATCCCATTTAGTGTAGTTGGATAGAGATTGAAATAGAAACCCATATGTGTGTTTGTGACAGGCCTCCCTGACCAACGCTTCTACAGTTCACTCTTACCATAGAGACAGCTGAATTGTTCTGAGTGTGACAAACATTGGCAAAATGCAGATATGAAGAGAGAACGTGAAATCCTCTAGTGCTCTTTCTTTGTGTTACTGGTGTTTCTCTTCCACAAATGACCTCCTAACATCCCTGAAGCTGTTTAAGAGTAAAAGCTCTCAGATAAGTAGCTTAATAGACTCCAGCAGTCTTGCTGCATTACTGTAACCAGGCGCTGCTACTGCTCGTCATGGTTTGATTTTCACACAGGTTATCCCCTCCTTTGAATGGCACCAGTGGCACCAATACACCTCTTGAAATTTCTTGCAGTTGTGTTCAGTGCAATATTTTGTTTTCTTTGTGCCTTTAGCTCAGATATGCTATAAAAAAGTTGGATTCCTCTTTTAGGCCTATTCTGTCTATGATGAAGAGATTGGTTACTGTCAAGGCCAATCGTTTCTTGCTGCTGTGCTGCTTTTACATGTAAGTGGTGTTTTTTTTTTTCCTCCAGTTTGTTTTAAGCTTAAGAATAAATATTGCTCCACATGTCTGGGACAGACATTGGTAACTCCTGAACAAGTGGGGTCGCAGGCTGCTTATCCACTTAAATGTTGGTCAATAATAATGTGATTTCAGGCAGAATAGTAAATTGTTTAAAACTAACTGTAGTATTCATAACAACTCTTGTCTACAGTCAGTGTTCATTTCACTGTGTTTCTGTTTCAGGACCCCTTCCAATTGAAACTCTACAGACTTGTACTCATGATCACTAGTAGGCATGGAATTTGTGTATCAGACAACTGTAAATGTTTCTGTTACAGGGTTTCAAGGTCAGATTTAAGCTTTTTAGAAGACCTTTCTATTGAAATCGGTCAGAAGTATGGTTGGTCATCACCACTGTTGTGCATACACAGAAGTAGTGTATTTGTGGCATTGGTGGGATGTCAGTTTCTTAGTGCTTTGAACATTATATGCCTTTATTTGGGCTCCTGTATTATGGGCCCTTGTGCTTTTTGGTTTTAGAGGTTATTGAAGGATAAAATAGTTTTTTATTTTGTTAAGAATATCTTTTTTAACTTAATGTTATTGGTAAAAGAGGCCTCATCAGAGTAATATCCTTTAATTGCTTGGGTGTTCAGAAGCCAGGGAGTTTGATGCTTACTGTAAATCAGAAGCAAAATGTTCAGATTTGCTCATGCTTAGGAAATATGAGAGGATTTGAAATCAGTGCCAATTATTTATAGACCATTCTTTTTTAAAACAACGTCTGCTTTTTGTCAGTGTGTGCATTGCAAGTGGCGCGGTTGCAGCTGAACAGTTCCTAAGCCTGTAGTGTTCTGAGATTTCTTCTCCCCACCTGTACCAGTGAGAACTGAGTGTGAAGGCATCTCTGCAGCTTTCAGTGGAAGGCTGGTCTTCACAGAGCATTTTCCATAATGTTGTAAAGTCAGTGGAGGATGCAGAACACAACATAAACTCAGTTCTTTTTAAGCGTCAGCCAAATAACTAATCATAAAAACCTTCTAGTTCATTGTTCCTGTTATGTGAAACATTTGCTTGATGACCAATTAGTTCTTTATTACTGTACTGAATCAGATCAAGAAGGCTGATACTTACTGATAGGAGAACTGAACACTTCTACTGAAACATACATGCTTCTGATTTGTATTGTCTTCTATCCATTTCTTGAATATCCATTGCATTAGAGAGATGTGGAGAATGAAGAATTCTTTCTTCAACAGTTAGGTATTGCCTGTGGGAATGAAGTATGCAATAAAAAGGCTGAATTTCAAATAGGTTTCTTTGAAATGAGCCTTTGGAGTACAGCTGCCAGGGAATACAGATATTGAAAAGCTTTGCAGAAATGGAGTCCATCACTACCAGCCCAGTCATGTCAGCAAAGTTTTCAGTTTTAACAAACTCCATCTGCAGATTAATAATAGAATGCTGAGGTGGGTGTTCTGGCCTTTATAGGAACAAGTGATTGGCCTGAAGTCAGACTTTACTACAGAAATATAGAAAGCTGAGTTTTTGTGTTTGGGAGAAATGTCTAAACACTGACAAGCCGTGATGAGTGTATCTTCGGTTTTTGGCAGGGAAGGGATATTGAACTTTCCTAAACCAGTGATGACTTGTGATAAATTGAGTTTTTGTTAGCAATTACTGCTCTGTCTTATTCATGGCAGCTGAAAAATAAGCTTGAAATGTAATTAATGTCATTTAAAAAGGTAAATATATAGCTAAAAATAAGGGAAAGATCCTGTTTAACATCCTCTGATGATACTGCATTTGTCTTAGTTACGTAGGTGACAGAATTAGGCTGTTGAAAATCTGTAGGATTCTGGCATGATGTGTAGCAAATACGACAAGAAGCTGCGTTGGTCTTGATGTCTGTAAGATGTATTTTTAGTTGGCTGACGGGGAAGTGGTTTATTCCACTGAATGTGAATGAAGTGCAGTATCCAACACCAGGCCTCTTTTTGTGTGTTGGTACTCTTGGCTACTTTGGAACTGGCTACGAGGGGGTTAAAAAGCGGTAACAGTTTGGCTTTTCTGCATGAGGGAGGAGACCACAGTAAGGGCAGATGGAACTGCTATGAAGGATTTAAACACGCTTTCTTCTCACAGATGCCTGAAGAGCAAGCTTTCAGTGTTCTGGTCAAAATCATGTTTGATTATGGACTCAGGGAACTTTTCAAACAAAATTTTGAAGATTTGCACTGCAAGTTCTATCAGCTGGAGCGCCTCATGCAGGTAGGGGCTCAGACTTGTGTGAAGTGAATGGATCAGGACCTGCAGTTCAAAACAGCAAAACAAGCTGTTTGTCTTACATACGAATAGTGTTTGTAGCCTCTTGGTAAAGAGGCCACACTGAAGGCTTCCTGAGAATAGAGGGTGCTGAGCAGAGTCCTGTTTGTCACCACAGGCAGCACAGTGGGTTTGAGGCCCCCCGGGGCAGCTCTCCTCCTGAGTGCCCAGCAGGCGCTCGCTGCATGCAGCTGCAGTGCCTTTGCAGGGTCAGCACAGCGCTGCCCGGGTTCCTCACTAGGATGCCAGCTCAGGAACTTGGCTTGCTGTGCATTCAATGCAGCCGCACTGAGCCCTCAGCATCCCTGGGAGGCCCTGCAGCGTGTCGGGCAGCTGCCTGTCAGCTATGGGTGGATGCTGAAACCTGCCTTTCTGCACTCCCACATTGGTTCTACCCAACTCCTGTAATACTTTGGGGTTTCAACTGCTCCTCCAATAGTGTAAATTAACTTTCTTCCTTTCTTTGTCCATTATTATTATTAGGAATACATTCCTGATCTGTATAACCACTTTCTGGACATTAGCCTTGAAGCGCACATGTATGCTTCCCAGTGGTTCCTCACACTGTTCACGGCAAAATTCCCTCTCTACATGGTCTTCCATATTATCGACTTACTCTTATGTGAGGTACGTGTTGTAACTGAAGACTCTACTGGTAACTTTTGACCCTTTCTCACCATCTTGATTCACTTCCTTGTTACAGCTGTTCTTTCAGAGCTGGGCAAGTGATACTTATTTCTATGGAGAAGTGTTACATTTTTGCAGTGGAAGAGTTCTCAGTTTTAAAGAAATGAATTAGGAATATATATATATATATAAAATATCTTATTTCACAGAGTACTGTTTAATGTAGATGTAATTCCATACAGTGCTCATGGGATGTAAATTACTTTACAAATGTGGATGAAAGATTCCAATTTTCTTCTGTTATTAAATTGTATCATACACTGATAACATTTGTGTTGGTTTGGGTTTTTTTGTTTTTTGTTTTGTTTTTGTTTAGAATGTGGATGCAAAAAGGCCATCCCATGTAGAGTAGCTCAGCTAATTTCTGTGCTGGTGATCTCACAAGCCTGGGGCCCTTTTTCCGGGAGACTTGAAGTCTCTTTGTACTTCCCAGCATATATTTAGAAAGCAAAACTATTTACTTCAAGATTTGGACAAATGCATGTTTTAAAAAAGCATATTTGGTAGCGTGTTGGTAAATAGTATAATTTGATTAGGAGCTCATTAACATATATTAAGAATTCATGTTTTGTACCAAAGCATCCGTGAGTTATCTCTTGATTTACTGGCTGATTAACATTATTCTGCATTCTCCACCAGGTCTGTAATTTTGTCTAAATTTTGGACACTGAAGGGTTTCAGCATTCATAAATCTCCTGGTCAGTTTTACCCTTTTTCTGTTATCATCTGCTGCTTACTTTGTCCATGTGCCAATGCAACTGAAGGCAGCAGATGGTATCTAGAAAATCAGTTATATTTGTTTAGAAACACATTTTAAATTCACAAATAGTAAACGTGTTCCTAGTGAATGCTGAATTTTTGTATTGCTTTAGAATAAGAGTGAAAAGAAATTCAATGGGAAAAGAAAGACAGTCTTGAAATCTGATGAGCAGTGTGTTGTGATCAGGGCAGGCACCCCTTAGGAAGCTGTATGCTACTACTGGGTGTAGGGACAGGCAGCTTAAGCAAAACACCTCTAACAAACAGTGGCAAAGTAGATGATGTGAGACTCTGTTCTAAAGTGAGTTACCTTCTTTTTTATTGCAAGAATTATCCCAACTATTGAATCCCAGAAGTTAATATATCCATGTATATATTGCTGCATTTGAGTTCAGTGTTTTCAGAAGTTGCTGTATGAAAATGGAATCATCTTGAGCTGACCAACCAGTCCTTAAAAATAAAGTGCAGCACCTTCATCATTTTGGAGTTTGGAGCTATTAAGATAGTAAAACCTGTGCTGAAACATTGGTTTGCTATCAGTAATGGCAATCCAGTGAACGTACCTTCCTAACTGAAGTCATTTAATGCAGAACCTGTTTGCACTTGTATCCTTGTTCTCATCTTTGCAGAAACTAGACTAACAACAAAATCCAACAAGTAGATTAAAAACTAGGATTGCAAATACCAAGAAATTAACTTACTTTGTCATTATTTTTCTCTCTAGGGAATAAGTGTTATCTTTAACGTTGCACTGGGATTATTAAAAGTGAGTATCCAGTTTCTAACACGGTGCTTTCTGCACCATGGTGCCTTTGTGCACAGGTAGCAAAAATTAAGATGCCTGTTAATTTTCAATTTTTTTTAAGCTAGGAGCTTCCTGTATTGCATGTGCTGTTGTCTGTCATCTTCGGTGCAGCAGAGTGCTTTTGGGGGATGGGGAGGCAGGGAAATAGAAAGCTGCAGGAATAGAAACAAATGCTATTTACAGAAGGGTAACAAATAGATAAGTTCTTGGGAGCTTTACAGAACTGTTGTTGCTATATTATCTCTGGGAATTCGGTAATTGTCCAAAATCTGCTTTGCAATTGCTGCTTTTTCTTTCCTTGTCTGCAGACTACCAAGGATGATTTGTTACTGACTGACTTCGAAGGGGCTTTGAAATTCTTCCGTGTTCAGCTGCCCAAGAGATACCGCTCAGAGGAGAATGCAAAAAAGCTGATGGAGTTGGCCTGTAACATGAAGGTAAAGATGTGGTGATAGCAACTGTGAGCACATCTTCAGTGGGTACAATTTCTGAGGCACACAGTGAAGTTTTTTAGTTTGGGGCAGTGGGAGTTATGTTTGTTCCTCTCTGATGTTATCCACTTCATATCTACATGTTAGAACAAACCCTTAAAATGGAATTTCAACCTAATGTTACAAAGTTAGTAGCTTCTGGTCAAATATACTGGAAGGTTCAAAATCTTTTTTTTTTTTTTTTCTTTTTCCCCCACTAGAATAATTCTTCTGTAGCATCAGTGTGTAATTACAGTCTTCCTAGTACATGAACTTCCGTGGCACTGAGGGGTACTAGCAGTATTCTCCATAGAACTCAAGCATTTCTTATGACATTAGTGTAGAAATTAGGAAGTAACCAGGAAGCAAGCAAGCTATATAAACATCCAGTCACTGAGGAGTAGCCACAGATCAGACATTCTGTGCTTATCTGGTCAAGATGGAGTGTAATGACTGCATTTGCCTTTCATATTTCCAGATAACTTGTTTTTCTTCCCACTCTGCCAAATCTCCCTTCATTCCCAGTGAAGTAGTTAAAGCAAACAGTGAAGACTGTGCACTGCTTCCCTGAGTGTCAGGGGGTTAAATGGAAGTTTAGGGAGAAAACGCAAACTGTGTTACTGGGCTGTGCACAGGTGCTGTGTTGCCTCTGATTGGACATTGCACATAATTGCTTTCTTTGACCTAAAATGTAAGTCCTTCGCTGTCAGTAGAAATCTCCAGCTTTGTATCTGGAAGCGCTCTTGAGCAGAAAAGGGCCTGATGTCAAAATAAATCATTTATAGGAAGGGAGAAGTAGCCTAGCTAAGGCATTGTGATTACAACAGCATTCTGCTGAAAAGGAGGTCAGTAAATGATGAGCTTGAGACAGCATTCGTTTCTTAAAGTGTTCTCTGCCCTTGAAATACTGGTGGGACTTCAGTATTCATTTCTGCCTTCTGTCACCATGGAGGCCCAAAGGCCTTGCTGACTCCTTGAGCATGGATCCTGCTAAGGCTCCAGTATCAAGAACTGGTGACAGTAGTAAATGTTCTCACGATCACCTCATTATTAGTATGCAGGGGCAACACCAGGTTAATGCACTCCTGTCTGACTGGCAGTGTGGCTTCCTCTCCTTTCAAAAGCTAACCTTTACATAGCTTGAGATTTGGTGTATGAAACCCAACAGTTAGCACAGTTCAGCCGGAGCAGAGCAGTGAAATAATCTAGTTACATGAAGTTACAGGCTGTATTGTAAGAAGGGGGTTAATATTCTGCTGAGTAAGGATCACTGCTGCAGCTGTAATAGGGCTGGACCCACTCCAGGTACATGGGCTGGATTCTCCAAAAAGACTCAGCAGAAGCACATTCAACTGAATGTTTCCGTGCAGTTCTCACTAGGGGGAGCCTAGCTACCAGGTTTCTGCTGCTCGTTCCAAGTAAGATTGTTAATGATAAGGAACAAACATAAGAGAAACTGAAGCATGTTTTCCACTGTCTGTCATTTATGCATATCAGATTTGTTTCTCAGACAAAATATGGGAATGTTTTCCTCTTAAAAAATAACTTCATATGATTTGGCTTATTGAAATAACAATAAGGATTCAGCAGCTTTTGTTACTAGTGATGTAATTTGGATGTGTACTGCTTTGCATGTGAAATGCTGTTAATGGTTTTAGCACATACTGTCACTACACTCCTGCAGCACATTGCACACCCAGCAGCTGACACCGGGGAGGGTGCTGGTCTGGATCTGATGCAGTTCTTGTGTGTTCTCTGTTCCTGTAGGACTTGAACCCTGCACAAAACACTGAATTTAATTCACTTTTCTCTCCCTTCTTAGAGACGGGAAAACTGCTTTTGCATCTGTAGTTTCTTTTAAAGTAAACACTTCAACATGATGGCAAATGCTGCTGCTAAAAAAGCAGTATTATGTATTACTCAGCATTATGTTAGGTCAGAAATTAAACACGTATGGTGGATATCAAGAGATTCAGTTTTGCTAAGCTACTGTAATATTTTGGGTATCAAACAGCTGTAAGTACCAAGGAGAACTCAGGTAGGATGCTCTTAGGAATCCCCTTCTAACACTTCTCTATATTTCACAAAAGGATGAGAGATAGGGATACTTTCGTGATTATATTGAGTGAAATAAATTTTTTTAGACCATATCCAAAGGTTTGACATTCAAGAAAAGATTGTTAGCTGTGTTTTAGAGAAGGCAGGAGTTGCCCAAAGCTCACAGCATAACCCTTTGTGAATTGTGTATCTTTTTTGTGATGTTCCGGACAGGAACTAATAGGCTGCTTTAATTTAGATTAGCCAGAAGAAGTTGAAGAAGTACGAAAAGGAATATCACACCATGAGAGAGCAGCAAGCTCAGCAGGAGGATCCAATAGAAAGATTCGAGGTAATGCTTACCCACTGTAATCTGATTTAACATGCAATACCTGCAGAAGTTTTTGGGTTTTTTTTAAGCTGTTTTGTCTTCTGACAAGTCCATGTACACATACATCCACTTACATGTTTTAAGCTGAAGAGTTTTATGTGAACTTTAACATCTGTCTGCGTGATGGGAATTATAATAGAGTGGCTTTCCCAGTACATCCACTCTCATGTTTTTCTAGCATGAAAATTTTATTTTCAGCTATTAGGAAATGAGTGTCTGTAGGAACCTCTTGGTAGGGTGTGATGGCAGAGTGGCTCTCCTACCACTGCATTCTTCAAAAACATTTCACCATCTCAACAAGGAAGAGATGAGTTATTAACGTGCGGTTTCTTCTCAAGACTAATATTTAATTTGCTTTATTTCGTATTTACTGTATGGGTAGCAGCTCTTGTTCTCATTGAATTTTGTGCAGGTGGAGTTGACTTTCAGTGTTTGAGATGTAAGCTGGACATTTGCAGTCAGGCACAGAGTGCTGTGTTTTATAGATAAACGCATAGCAAAACCTTTGTCTTGACTTTCTGTCTGCCCATAGCGTGAGAACCGGCGCCTACAAGAAGCAAACATGAGGCTTGAGCAAGAAAATGATGACCTTGCACACGAACTGGTGACCAGCAAGATTGCTCTGCGGAAGGATTTAGACAATGTAAGATGTTTTTATGCTCTGTAGTGGAGACAAAGTACTGGGGCTAATTTCTAGTGACTCCTCTCACTGTAGGTATCACTGAGTATTTTCATATTTTGTAATGTTTAATTTTCTGCTGATGGGGTGATAAATCCCATATTCTTTGTTCCTAGAAGAATGTATTTTCACTTGTGTCTTGCCTCCAGCACATACTGTCTTTGGTTAGGGATTGCCTTTGGTTTTTTTTATGCGACTACTGGGCTTCTTGTAGTCCTGTCAGGACAACAGGTTGAGCAGATGCAGGTCATCACATTACGTGGAGTGGAGAAGCACCAGTACAGGGTGTCTGATATGCTGCAAAATGTGGAACAGTTGATATGGGTGGGTTAGGATTCTTTGCTCCATGCCTGCAGAACAATGATATATAGACTTGTGTCAGATACCCACAGGAAACAGGACCAGCATCTGAAATATGGAATCTTCTGAAAAGCATTCAGCCTGGAAAGAGAAGACAGGTTCTAAGCCTGGACTTGATTAGTTACTTTCTTCTCTATGTTCTTTCTATATTGAAAGAAAGTATAGCAGGAGCTAAGTCAAGTCTTCAAATTGTTACAAAAATACCAGCATGGATTCTGTGTTGTGTTTTTCTTCAACTGGTATTCAGATGAGTATGAGCTCACAGAAGACAGGCTTTTGATACCTAATAAATTTGAAATTCTGAGTCTGTCTGGCTCTCAGTAGGATCAGATCTTCAGATACCTATTAGGCAATTCTAGAAAAGGGTTTGGCTTGTTGAAATCTGCCCACGTGAACTCATCATTGGTTGTTTTCCATATCAGCAGAGCTCTCAGAAAGAGGTTTCAGATTTACTTTTTTGTATTGATTTTTTTTTTAAGCTTGCTCTGCATTCCCTTCATTACACAGCGATGTCTTGGAGATTTTTTTAGGATATGCTTTTCACGTTATGTGCAAAGGCACTGGCATTTGTAAAGCACCTGATAGGCTGGGCCACATTTAGTCCATCTGCTTGGGGAGATGAGGAAAAAAGTTCAAGTCCTTATGTTTGCTGTTCTCATTGTGTGCCAAGATAAGGGTGCTTTTGAAATCTGAAAGAAAAATAACTTTAAAAATCATGTTGTGCAGGAGTTGACAGGCTTAAAAATGTTTCAGCTTATCTGCTTCCAGAGAACACAAGGTTTCCCATGGTCTCCTGGAAGCTGGCTGTTGGAAACATACTCCTTGTAAATGGTGATGCTAATGGATGAAGTTGCTTTTAATGAAGTTTGTTTTATGACTTTCAGGTTTGTTACATCTACTGCTCTATAATGTTAAAAATGAGTGAAACATAGATGTTCCATGTGGGGCTTTCAAAAAGCATTCTTATGTTCACTTCCTATTACCTGTGCTTTTTCACTCTGTTGGAGATAGCTCATGGAAGGCTGTGCAGGATGCCCACTGGTTGCTCTCAGAAGGTGGACTGCAGCAAAAAAACAAACCAAACCAAAACAAAGTAGTGCAGAAGTTTTTGTATCTGTTACTAACTGTTGTTTGGGGCTGCTCTAGCCCATATAAACCAGTTGTGCTTTTATTCCTTTAAATAGAGAGCTAAGAGAGAAAAAAACTGAGTAAGTCTTTGAGATACACCGGTGGATATGTAACACTCATGCCTTCAAAGGTGGTAAACGATGTTGGTAGCATTCAGGTTATCCCCCAGGAGGAGATAGGTAGGTTTGATCCTATGTTGGAACCCTGATTAATTCTTCTAATTGGAAGCTGCAATGGTAAGTTTCATTCTACTGGCCAGATGTCCTGAAAGAAAAGTACCAAAGGAGATTGCTTGTACACCTTTTCTAATAATTTCATAGTGTCTCTGAAGTCTTGCAGCCTAAAAGATCAAAGCAAAGCATTTGGAAATACGAGAATTTCCTTAATAACCTTTGCACTAGACCAGAAAATAGGCTTCATTTTTCTGCTATTGCTAGAGTCCCATATCCCAGTTTCCTTTAGCTTTAAAACAGCTTAAAAACCATGTATAATGAAAAGATGTTCTCTTTGCCTTTGCCATCTGTTTTAAAGGATCAGCAGGACTTTAAGGGACTAAAATTCACTGTTTGATTTTCTTCCTTTGAAGGGAAATGGTACAGCTACTTTCTGAACATTCTATATATCAGTTGAGTTATTGATCTATTTTTATGTTGAATTCATACACCTATTGGGAAGTACTGAGTTGCTGTGTGTTAGACAGGAAAAGCTGTCTTACTTTGCAAAGCAGCTTATGAACAGCCCAAGATTTTACAGCTATGCACATTTATTCTTTAAAAAAAAAAAAAAAAAAGTAGTAAGAAAAGATTGTGTGCTTTCTGGTGGGACATTCTTTTCTTAAAGGAGGAATCTGACCTAACATTACTTTTATTAGCAACAAGAAGAGACTTCTTTTAATAAGAATGAGAGGACAGTGTTCTTGGCTGTGTCCTACTGGAGTTTCCACCCATTGCTGCCAACCAGCATCCGCACAACAAGGAAGCTTCTCTTCAGTGCTGTGCTTTGCTCTGTGTTCCAGGCAGAGGAAAAGGCAGATGCTCTGAATAAGGAACTGCTAATGACCAAGCAGAAATTGATTGATGCAGAAGAAGAAAAGAGGCGCCTGGAAGAAGAATCAGCTCAGGTTAGGGGCACTTCTGTCATTTTCAGATTTCTGTGCAGTGCAGATATGGGAAAAAAAAGTGACAAGTGTAGGAAGAGCTTAATGTTCTAAGTGCTGCTTGTGCCTCCTCTGTAGTGTAAAGAGCGTCAGCAAAACAGAATTCTTTCCTGTCAGGTGCTTCACAGGATAGTGAATTTTTTACTTGAAATTGTGAAGGCACAGACTGTGCCAGAGATTGCTGCACAAAGAGGCAGGACAGAACTTCAGCTGTCAGTACATTTAATACTTCCTTCTCTAAACTAGTCAATTTTCTAGCAAAGAGAGCCACCGAAGTCCAGCTTTTCCCTGTTTGCACATAGCTGAGATAGACCTTTGTTCCCTGGAGAGTCTTGCTATGTGCAAAAGGTATTGAGGTTAAGGACAAGGAGGAAGTACCATATGCTTATTTCTCAGACTGTACAAATATATAAACTTTTTTTTTTCCACAGCTGAAGGAAATGTGTCGTAGGGAACTAGATAAAGCTGAGTCAGAGATCAAAAAGAACAGCTCCATAATTGGTGACTACAAACAGGTAAGCACAACTTCATGATTACATGTTCTGCAGTCAAATTGCAATCTCAGGCATCCTAGGAGATTTGTGTCATTCCTTTGAGGAGACATTTTAGCTATTTTAAGCAGGAAGCTGGCACTTGTATTTGCTGAGATCATGATGGCCAGCTCTGTTTACTTTTAACACAGGTGTTGATAGATCACCAGTTTCACGGCCTCAGTGACAGCCCAGCATTGTTCATATGGGCTCTTGTATAGCTCAATTTTACTTCATTGCAAAGCTTTCCCATCTTCAGTTCTTCCATCAGATGGTAATTGCATGTAACAAGAGAGAAAGATGCCTTTTTCATTTTAGAGATTTTACTTTGGAATTCAAGCACCTGATCATCAGGTATCAAAGGACTAAACCGATGAGTCTTTTTAATGGAAACCTTCACAATGTTCTTAAGTCACACGGGTCTTGAGGAACTGACTCCAAAAAACAAACAAACAAAAAGCACTGCTGCTTTTGGGGTTGTGGCTGGTGCCTTTGTCCCAAAGGACTCATGCTTTCTCTAACCGTTTTGGATTCTTTTAGCAAGACCAAACTTATGTGACCACTTCCTATGGACATAGAAGAATATGTATAGAATGACACAACTTAATGTAGTATCCCAATTTTCCTATTTTCTCAGAGCCATAAAACTGTCCATGTTAATACTCCTGTAGCATTTATTTATGCTTTAGCATTCATCTGGGATAAAAATTACATTTCTAAATAGTCTGGTACATAACTTTGCTTTTCAGATTTGTTCCCAGCTGAGTGAGCGACTGGAAAAGCAACAAACAGCAAATAAGGCTGAAATTGAAAAAATACGGGTAAGAGAACAGATAGGATCAGTCTACAACATTTAAATCTCTTAGCAAAATCATAACAGAAAGCACATAATTAGTCATCGCAAAAATGATGGTTGAAAGAGCATTCCTTCATGACTTACAGTTTTGGAAAGATTGTAGGAGGGATGGCTGGTGTTCATCTCTCCCTTGTTATATTGCCTACATTCTCATGCTTGGCAGTAATATGTTTTAATTGTTCTGAGGGGGTCTTATTTTCTTCTGGAGGAGATTTTTTTGGCTGTCTTTTACACAGCCCATTATCTGAGCCAGGCAGTCTTACCAAAACTACAGCAGTGTTTCTAGAGTCCACAGACCTGGGGGCGGCCGGAGCTCCTGCTTGGCTGTGCTCCCTGGCAGTTCAGAGTTTGCAGATCATTAGCAGTCCCTCTCACATGGTGCTGTGCTGCCAGAGCAGAGGCACAGAAAGGCTGTGCGCAGCACTCTGGTACAGGCATTCACAATCAGGTATTTACTCTAGCAAAAAGTGGATGACTGCGAACACTGCCGGGAGTTCTTCAATAAAGAAGGCCGTGTGAAGGTTGCAAGCTCAGCCAAGGATGGTTCGGATGATGACACGGACGAGGAGAAGGAAACGCTGAAAAACCAGCTGAGGGAGATGGAGCTTGAGCTGGCCCAGACCAAACTGCAGCTTGTGGAAGCAGAATGTAAAATACAGGTAATACTTTGGGGTTCGTTCTACAGTGTATGTGGTGTGTCTGCATCCCTAGAAAAGTGTGTTTGTTTTAAGAGTTTGGAACAGATCCTGTTGGTTGAAACTGTAACTTGCTGTTTCCTGTCTGACTTACTTAACCATCCCTGGGTCTGAAACTTAGTGTATGCACATAAAATAATTCAAATTACATGAACTGTATTTACCAACCAGCTCCTTACAGCTTCCAGACATCTGCGTGGCTGCAGTGCAGAACTTACTGATATTCTGCAACTTCCTGGAAGAAATCCAAATTCTGACAAAGGACTGAATCATGCAGTTCTTTATCTCACAATCGACATTAAACCAACAGCTAACATGTGACAAATGTTAGACATGTTTCTTAAAACATGACTGGAAAGCACTCCAGGTACTTGAGGTATTTATGGAAAATATGACAATGTTCTTGTAGCCCAAAAATGCAATGTCAGTGCTTCTCCCCAGAAACTTAAAAGTTAGTTTGGAGGAAGTCCACTTCCTTTAGGAATACCTCCTTCTCAGATAGGAAAGAATTAAAGACCTTGCATGTACTAAAGGAAGCTGAATGTTTCACTGAGGGCAATGACACAGGCTTGCTTTGGAGTTTGAAGCTTTTTTCTACTTTTTTCTTTCATCGCCTGTTGTGCTCCTTTCAATTTAAGACTCACTTCTGTGATAGCGAAGAAATTGTAGATGTCCTACAGCCTTCTTAGTTCAACTCCTGTTGTGCTGTGAATACATACCAAGTTATAGAAATCACTCTTCTGTTTGCAGGATTTGGAACACCATTTGGGTCTGGCATTGAATGAAGTACAAGCTGCAAAGAAAACATGGTTCAACAGAACAATAAGCTCTATAAAGACAGTGACTGGAGTCCAAGGAAAAGAGACTTGTTGAAATGCAGTTCTGTCAAACACACCTTCTTAACACAACACCTTTTGTTGCCTTCCTTGGCCAGATGTTTAATTCTGTGACACGAGAGGACCAGAATGTAAATACAATAGAAATACAGCATGTCGGGATGTCAATAGGTCAGTGATAAAAAGGATGGAAACACAAAAATGGCTTTATTGCTAGACATGGGATCTTCATACTACTGATATTTAACAGGTGATGTAGCTAGATTGAAGCTCTTCAGAGAAACACTCCATTCTGCGGTCTGGCTGGAGGCTTTTCACAGACTAGGTACGAGAACTTACCAAACCCTAATTGTTAAGTTTACATACGATAGGTTTTTTTACAGTTATAACCTTTTTTAATATTTTATTTGAAAGGAAAAGTGTCACTAAAGGAATTATAAAAAAAAAAAGAGGAAAAAAAAAAAAAGAAAAACAAAGCAAAAAAAGAAGAAAAAAAAGACAACTACCAAGAACTACATCAGTGCCAGAAAGCAGTCCCCAGAGGTAGGATATAGAGAGTAGGAGGTGAAGTTTCGTTTTTGAATGGGGATGATTTCAGCATTCCTGTCAGCGCAGCCCCACTTTGTTTCAGTTAGACGCAGCATCCATCTCTGTGTTTGGCATTTCTTTCTGTTACTAATCAATTCTATGCAACTCTGAGCTTTTTTTTTTTTTTTTTTTGTATTTGCCAAACAAATTTGCAACCTGAGGCTCAGGGCCTTGGCTGAATGCTAGACGAGAATAATCAGAATTCTTGGCGAAGTTCTGCTTCACTTCTGTGTCATATTGTTTGATCCACATATCAACAGCGTTAAAAATCCCCAGCTAACAAGGACTGCTCATGTGGATGGTCTGACATTTAATTGAGTCTTTTTGTTTGTTTTTTGTCACTTTTTTTTGTTCTGTTCTTCCGTTGTTTTTACCCGCCTGTAGCAGGCCTTCTGTGAAGCTCTGAGAAAGCTTCCAGGATTTAGTTTTGCACATAGGTATGAATGGGACAAAGAAACAATAAACTGAGATATATATGAGGCAAAAATCACTGCGTGAGTGTAGCTGCGAGCATCTATAGCTGTCCAACTGGCTTCCCTGGTAACGCGTTCAGAGGTTGTGTAGGTCATTTTCCATGCTCGATGCAGTTGCACTAATAGGTGCTAAACATGCTTGGATTGCTTATTCTTTGGATTGTCTGAGTTCTCACCAGAAAGCTGTAGAATGGAGTTTTGCACCTTGTATTTTTTTTTTTTTTAATTTATAATGGTTTGTGTTATGCTGAAGTATCTATTGCATCAGTGGATAAATTTCGTGTGCAGTGTGAGTATAAGCTGGTAACAATAAGAGGCACTGGTTTGTATATAAAGATATTTGGTTTATTTTGTATTTCTACCTTTTTCTTGTTTACTGTACTAATGCTAGCTAATGTACTCTGTAACTACAGAATAGAACATGCTATGTCCAAGCTTTTTTTCCTTAACTGCATACATTATCTCTATTGTTTAATACCAAAAACAAAACAAAACTTGTAACTCCATCAATATGAAATGCGTGGACATTGTGGTAGCATAGTTGCAGTGTGTATACTTTATGAATTGAAATATAAACAAGTAAAATTGTATAACTACTTCCTTGTTTCATTTCATTTTAACAAATCCATTAAATATTTTGCAATACAAAACCAATTCTCTTCCTAAAATAGAAGCGTTAGGATCTGCAAGCTTCTGTCAGACCAAAACTATATTTGTGCTGCAAAGGACTTTGCTAAAAAAGACTTCATATTCTTGGTGTTGCCAACATTGCTTTATATAATAAAATGTAGGTTTTGCTTTGAAAAAAGAAACTGCTAAAATGACCTTGTGCAGCTTGAGGCTTGTGACTCAGTATTTCTCAAATATGTCCAATTTAGAACATTTTTTTCCATGACCCTCCAAATTCCGCTTGGATCTGCAAAATAAACGCAGCCTAGCTCTACTTATCATCATCAGTAACATAGATTCTGTGGGGTGAAGTGTCATTCACGTCATCTTCACTAGAAGCTTGTAGTCACAGCTGAACTGGGTTTAGCTGTGCAACTGGATGAATGCTCTAATTGGGTCACAGTGCAGATCAGGCTCCCCCAACTGTGTGTGTTCTGCAAAGAGATAACAAGGAGTAAAAATGTATTTTTGTCACCAAAGTGACTAAAGGTGACTCTGAAAGCAGCCTTACTCTGGGAGGCTGTTATCATGCTGTCATTTTTCTACCCATACTTTTCCTGTAAGAGAATGGCATTATAAGGTTTCGTGTCGTTTTTACTGCTTTGTCTTTCACAGGCTGGAGCACCTTGGTAATTCCAGCTCTGCAGTTTCTCAATAATCACAACTTCTGGAGAAAGTTTGAAGGCGAATAAAGGCAAGATGGGAGGGGGAGAAGCAACCAAAGCAGTTCATTTGTCCATTTGTCTTTCCCAAAGGGAGTGGGAAATTGTGTGTGCTTTCCACTTTGCCCCAGAACCGTGCTGCTTAAAAGAAGGAAAAGTTGCTTTGTTCCACTAAGTAAACATTGCCTCAAAACTGTGCGCTGCGTATACTCATCATTTCAGTGTGGTGGTGGAACAAACGTAACAAAAAGCTTTATAACATTTTCTAAGAAATATTTTGTAGTCAGTTTCCAGTTGTGGATAATTTTAGATATCTTTCTGAAAGACATTACTCACAAATAAATATTACCAGCATAGTTCAACTCTGACTCCATCTAAGGTATCTGCAACTAAGAAAAACAGATCGTCTGCTGAGAGGCATGTCTTTTGAAGCTCAATTACACGTGAAATATAAGGAAGCAGATCATTTTTAAGATGAGAAAGATGAATTTACAGGTACTCAAGCCTTTGAATGAGCAAGGTGGAAAAAAACAACACAAATCACATTGACTCAAAGTTGCCATAGGCAGGAGTATGTCACAGATCTGTAAGCAAAGAAGAATGAGTTTGTTAGCATTTTTTGCTGTAATAAGATGTTATCTCCTGTAGTTAATTATCTCTCTGTTCGCATATGCTCTCAGCTGGTTTTGTGCACTGAACTCAAAATGAATGCCACACTGCCTGCTGAAGCTTATATATCTTTCTGAAGAGCCTGGTGTGCTCTGGGCTGCTGCTTGCGAATGCTTTGTGCTGGATCGCTGAGGTCCTGGGCTCTCTGGCACTGATCCTCTATGGTTACAATCTCCTTTTAGTTTCTGAGATTTTCCTTCTTGGTTGTGCAGGGTCTTCGGATGGAAGCGAATGTTCCAGCTCTATCAAAACTTCACCTTTAAGTGTTGCTGGTAAGCCTTCCTGCAATTTATGTAACCACCTCCTTGACTTTTTTTAGCTGCCCTTCTTATCCGTGGCAGTAATATAAAGTTCCTGCTATCAAGAGGAGGATTTTGTTCCATCTGTTCAGCAGTTTGGCTCACGCTCATCCAGCCTAACTTTAGACACTTCAGAAGGGGCCTTTCTGGAGGGCTTAATGGGATGGCATGGCTCGGTGTGCTGAGGGCATAGGGCTGTGCTGGGCTGTGCCTGAGCAAGGGGAGTAACGTGCACTGCCTGCCTGGAGGTCCTTAAATGAAATAATAAAATGAAGCATCAGTTGACACAGCAAGGATTGTTTTCTGGTTTAGATTGCCCTCCTTTTTCACTGTGCAGTACTGTCTTCGTTACCCAAGACCCCCGAAGATTCTGCATACAAAACCCTTTAGGATTTTACCAGATTTTACAGCTATGTGTCCATACTGAGTTGGAGGAGTGAGGATTTGGTTTTGCTGCCTTTCTGCATGCTAATGAAACAAAGCACTAATCGTGTGTTCCTGCACTCCAGGTTTTGTGAGGGCACAGGGCTGCAGCCCGCTCACAGCGCTGGGGACGCGCGCACTGTGCGAGCAATGCGCGACTGCTGCTAAGGGAGCATGGAGTATTTGATGCCTGGCTGGGCGTAATGTTGACAGTCGAGGGTTTTCTTGCAGTGGCGTTGGGTCTTGCAGAAGACGAGATAAACAGAACTGAACCGACTTAAAGATTTCACACACGGCAGACTTCTGTGATCAAGTGACTTATGAAGGGACTGCGAGAGCCCCAGCCTCTACGCTGCCACGCGGGAACGGCATGGCGCTTCGCTTCCGCCCAAGGAGCGGGGGCGGTGCCCGCGCGTCGCACAGCGCTTTCTGATAGGTCGATGCGCTGATTGGCGGCAGAAGCAGCCAGTGAGAGGCAGTGGCTCGTGGCGAAGCGTCGGCTATGGAACACTCTGACGGCGCCATGTTGTTAGCAGGAGGCTATGCGGTGAGCCGAGGGGCTGCGAAGGAGGGCGGCAGGCCGGGAAGCAGCTGGGTCCGGCCTGTGGGAAGGTGGAGCTGAGGGTTGGTGCAATGAAGGGCGGTGCACTGCTAGGAGTTGCTGGGCCAGCCCGGGAGCTGAGGTGAGCGGCGGCCTTTGAGCGCGTTTGTTGTGCCGGCGAGTCTCATCCCCAAATGGCGCCGGTGGTGGCCGTGGAGCCCCTCAGCAGGCAGCGCTCCGTGACCTTCCCTATCATTGCGGCACTAAGTGCTGGTGAACGGAGAGCACCGGTGTGTGGGAAAACAGCAGAGGCCTGCAAGAAGGTATTAGTTGCTGCGGAGTGAAGTACCTTCTATTCTATCCAGAATATCTATATTTACTTCTATCTTAACTGGTTTTCACATTCTGCAGACAGTGCTTTGGGCCCTTAGGCCTGAGGAAGGTGGTGGGCCCCGCTCCGGCTGCTGGGAGCCGTGGTTGTGCCAGCATGTCGGGTAGGGTCAGGTTTGCTCCTTTCTTGCACCAGCTGAGAGGTGAAATGAGGAGTGGAAAGCTTGGCAATAGGATGTGAGAACTGGTGAAGCACCGTGCACACAAACTGCTTGATCTGCAGTGTGATGGATGGCTGCCTGCACGGGGAGACCTGCGCAAGGAGGGGCAGCGCCAGCACTCCTGGTGCCTCCTCCCTGGTAGAGGTTCTGCTGTGCCAGCTGTGTTCTGTTGTAAAGGAGGCTGGAGTCATGAAAAATGCACTCCTGTTGGTCTTAGAATAGTTGACATAATGTTTGTATGGACAAAGCTGTTTCTGTGCAGAAGCTAATTTTATATAGAAAAAAAATTTGTAGCCTGTGTGTTTATCACCTAATGCATAAGAATGCATATACGTGGGGTGAAAACTACTGTAAATAGAAAATCTCTGATTTCTAACCTGGAGGTAATGGGAGGAGAATGTGATTTATCAGATCTCCTCTTGAGAACCGCAGCAGAGTGCTAACCAATTCTGTGAAATTATTTTTGTTTTTAATGGAGCAATTATATCACGAGATTTGCCCCGAATTGGCATAGATTAAATTACTGCAGATGGTTCTGTAAAAATCCTGGACCATTCAAGACTTCTAAAGAGCAGCGTTAAATAACAAGATTTGTAACAGAAATAAGCTTTGTAAAATTATCGTTTAATGCTAAATTAAAAGTTCTCCATACTTGCAGGGAGCTACAATCTGTTTTTACAGAATTCAGCAATTAAGCAATTCGGGCAGTGAATGGATCTGTCAGGATGCCAAACAGCATCCAGCCAGAGATGCGGATTTCAAGGTAATGCTTCTGCTTGTGCTGCTTTATCCTTACAGCACATGTTATCGAGTCATATTAATTCTGCGTACATCAGAGAAGAAGTAAAGAAGGAAAATTAAAGCTCAGGTACTTAGGCTGTACTTAATTTTTTTTTTTTCCCTTAGAACACTCAGATCTGCGCTGAGTTTTTGTTTCTCTAATGATTAACTCCACAAGTCCTAAGCCTTAAGCGTTACTGAAAAGCACGCTCTGTGATGAACGTGTTTCTATCTTAAACTGTTCAGGGTGCAGATTTACAGTGTGATAGAACGGATGTAATGATTAGACTGCACCAAAAGGTCCTTCTCACCTGCTGGTTCCTGCTGGCATTCTGGTGACAGCACTTGCACCAGGCATACCAATGCTAGCGTAAGAGAGGGGATGAAATTACAGCCTGCCTGATGATGAGTTGTTATGGAATCAAATCCTCAGTCTGCAGCAGCAGAGACAGAGTTTTTATGTGTGCTTAGGCTCTTCTCATTCCAGTTGGATTAATGCAAGCATCTTAAGATGATTTTGCAGTTAAGACATTGTGGAGAACTATTCTTGCAAGACTTCTTTTTGCTGTAGATAAGGCTCTTCTGTGAACTACTTAAACTGTAGCGTGCCAGGAGCTTGATGTTCTGTAAGTAGGTGATCCAGAAAAGGTGCTGGCAGGTCTTAGCACAAATGCTAGGGGATGTGCTGCTAGGAGAAGGGAGTACCATAGGCTCTGTCCTAAAAAGCACTCAGAGCTAGATGTACCCTACTCGTGACAATGCTTCACTCTGAACCAAACGCGGGTTCTAGATATGCTTTGTTATTATGTGTGCATGGTTTTCCCTTTCATTGGGGTGGAAGAAAGAGGAGCATATCCTGGTGTTCTGGATCGATGTTCTCTTTCAGATGCAGACGCCAGCATCAGAGCATTTTGCTCTCAAATACAAGTTGTTGTAGGCTATTAGAATAATGACTTCATTGATTTGCTAGCAGTTGGTTCTTTCGAAATGAATAGGGGTTAGTTCAGACCAGCTCTAAAAATGAGTAACATCGGCTGCACTGATGTTGCTTGGTCCAGGCTGGGCAGTGCTTCGAGGAGCTGTGCTACTGGCGAGGCCATGGCTGCCATAGGCTGTGGGAGGGGATCAGGGGCAGAGCTGCCACAGGCAAGAACCAACTGCACTGGTACAGCTGGGCCAGGAAGATGAGTTTGTGCTGGAAAATGGCTTTCAGCATGCAGACCCTTCTCAGTAAGTTTTATAGACATTGCTTATTTCAATGAACTGTTGAAATCGTTAAGCCTGGAGATTTCTGAGGAATCTGAGGAAACTAGATGCCCAGCGTTAGCAAAGACCTCTCGTTTCCTTTTAGTAAATCCAACTGCAGTCTGTGAGGTACATGAAGCAGCTAGCAGAGTAAGATGCTCCATGTTTTTCTCCTGTGGGCTTTTGTTCTGGAAGTTGTGTTATGCCCTTGTATGAAAGGATCTGAAAGGACAAAACAAAATCAGACTGAAGTATATATGAAAT